CAAAACACACGGAAACTCCTGAAATTCACATCGTCAAACTTTCTTTTCCTGCCTTGTTCTCAACGCAACCTTCACTTTGCAGAACTCGGGCTTAATGACTTTTGATGAGCGGCAATTAAAATGGACGGATAGAAAGATGGATGCATGATGGTCTGATGGAGGTTGTCTCCAAAAGCTGGCTTGAGACGGCCCTGTCATATTTACGTAATTAAAGGTGGCGTGTCTGAAATTGTGATGTCCAGCACTTAGGCTGGCATCTCATTTAGTTTAGCAGCTCCTTTGGACCACAGCTTCAAGCACAGCTGTGATGAAGGTTGCTGTTGCCATGACAATGAGTGGACCAGCAGCTATGCAGTACAGTTGTGAACCAGGTGAAGCCCTTGCTGGTGACCAGGCAGCTCCATGTTCAAAGTCCCCCATTGACCCAAATGGACCGTAGCAGTGTAATCAATACCACTACAAGTCAGACCTGCTGCTTAATTCCTAATGAGAAATTCTAGTGAAATATCAAGACACTGGTGCAGTCAGTCTGAGTCACCAGTCCAGTTCAGTAACTATGTAGCTGTTACTTTTTAAGACGGTACCATTGCTTACTTCATTGTTGTTTCAATTAGTGGTGGAAATCATGATTCTTTTCATTTCATTCAACTGTAACTTCAAGTATTAATGCGTTTATACATCATTACACCATTAATGACGAAAGTGGGGATGTCTTGGGCGTGAATGGAATACATGTGCAGGGGGGGTAGGGGGGGTATATGGCTGAATGCCTACCTACCCCTTTTACCTGAACGATTGCATGAGCCCCACTTTTGAGGTTCTCAAAAGGCATCACACACATTTTACCAAGCCCCCCCCCGGTTCAGCTAAATTTGCAGATCGACAACAATCATATTAAATTAATCTGAGAAGACACCCCCGCCTGGCTGGGCACTTGCACCTTGAAAAGTCTCTGCACAGCTTTGTTTAATGATTATGTGTAAGTGAAGTACTTGGCAAATAAAGCTGATTCGCATGTTGAATTCAATCGTGATGTAACTACACTTGATGGAACGTGCAACAGTAACAAACCACGATTTGGCAATACGCCAGATGGATACTGCAACCTGTTTTTCGGAAAATTGTTTCTTATTAATGTGTGCTGCTTAATAAGCTTAGAACAACATGATCTTCACTTCACATGGTCAAGTCCAAATCCAAGTCCTGACTCTGTGGTATCCAAGGCCAAGTTCACATTGCAGATGTGTGAAGTTCGAGTCGAGGTTACAGAAATCAAGTCAAATAAGGTCAGACTCAAGTCCTGAACTTGAGTCTCCGCCATGGTTCCATGTGTGTTTGCATGTTCTTGCTGTTTCATCGTAATGTTTCCTCCAGGTACATTGGTTTCCCCCCACAGTCCAAAAACAATTAACTGGAGTTACCGAATTGCCCATATTTGTGAATGAATGGTGTGTGAATGTGCCCTGTAATGGTCGGTGCCCCTTCCTGTGTCGAGTCTATAGTGTCTGTCATAGGCTCTGCACCCCCCATGACCCTAAATAGGAGAAGTGGGTGCAGAAAATTCATTGAAAATTATTGGAACGATGATGTATTCCTTAATAATTGCTAGTAGTTAATTACCTGCATAGTCATGAAAGAGTTTCCCTCTTAATTAACTAATAAAACCTGGATAATCCCAAATGTGTTTCATTTAATCCCAAAACTCAGAAGAGATTCCAATAGAGTATTTTTAGTAGAAGTCCTCTAGCTCTTTGACGTACTACAATAGTCAGTGGAGATGTTCATAACGATAGGTAGGAAAGATCTCTTACATTAATGACGGCCCATAGCTTTATTTCTTCAAGCTAAAGAAATCAGATGAGGTCCTTTAGCTGCAAATATACAACTCTGGACCACTCTATATTTTCAAAAAAATCTGCTCTTTTAAATGCTGGTTTAATCCTGGTTCTGCTGGCAGAAGGCTACGCTGAGCAGCAGGTTGCTTCCAGGTTCAAAATTTCTAAAACAGCAGTACAGAAGAACAAGGTGAAGCAGGAGACACTTGGAACGACCAGAAACCAGCGACTTTCTAATGCCAGAAATGACTGTCAGCTCATCCAACAATTTCTCATGAACCATAGGATGACATCAAGTGACCTTCAAAAGGAATGAGAAACATTAAGTGCAGGTGTGAGGTGCACTGCTAGGGCAGTTCGTGTCAGGCTCCTAGAAGCAGTTCCATAAAGCAAGGAAGAAGCCCTTCATCAATGCGAAGCAGGGAAAAACCAGGCTGCAGTTTGAAAAAATAATAATAATACATGTATATTTTTCACAGACGCACATCCAAAAATTGAGAAATGAGTGAAACAAAAATGTTACTGTGGTCTCTGAATTTTTTCCGTGGCTGAATTATTTTGCCCACTTGTCTGCATCACTGTACAGCGGTAATTACTGAGAGACCTGTGATTGACAAGAGAATGGTGACATGGCTCTGTTGTCATTTGTAATGTTTAGATCACAGATGTAATTGCTCTTGAAACCACTTAGGAACTTGTCAAAAGCACACCTGAATTTAAAGCACCGCAATTAGGCTATTTTTTATAATTTATTATTTATATTCTCATTTCAGAAATAAAGGAAAAATCTATAAAAATTTCTTTTCATATGGCTACATTTCATGTAATTCCATCATAAATAAACCTAAATAAAATTTGGCATCAAACAATTTGTGTTTATTTGTTTGCCTATTTGTTTATTTATTTACTTGTTTGTTTGCTTGTTTGTTTGTTTATGTGTGCAGAGATTCCATTAACTGCAATTGCTAATTGAAGGTTTGAGTGTTAATGGGTTCCTTTTGTTAGCATTGTCAGTGAAACACAAGTGTCTGATTATCTGTCATTGATGCATGGCACCAAGGCACCGTTCTTTCTGTTAGCATAAAACATAAATATAACATAAATAAACGCTTTATAAATGATGTGCACAGTCAGTGCAGTACAAATGTTGTGTGCTACTGCTCCAGGGTATTTATGTACTGCACACCCATCACCTGAAAAATACAATGCTAGTATGTTGTGTCTCTATATTCCATTGAATATATTGATTACTCTCTGGTGTCTTGGTTTAATGATTTAAATGAAGCCTTTAGCAATTAGCTTTTAACATTTTTTTTACCAGGTACTGACCAGTTGTTTGCTTTTGCTTACATAATTTATACTGCTGGATATTTTCAAAGTTAAATTCTTTATTCTTGACCAGTTTCAGCCACAGGTCTTGATGTGTCGACTGGGTGGTGGTGGGGGGGGGGGGGGGTGGGTTGAGGGGGCCCACTCATCTGGATGAGGTCCCTTGCGGCACCGACTTTGTTCTGGTACCTTGGCCCAGAATACTTTAGCAAGGTCTTTTTGGAAAGTGACACCTGACAGGTCACTGCTCCTAACTAAACATTAAAGGGGGTTTAACTGGCCACACCTTTTTAAAAACATTGCAATACTGTGGCTGATGTCAGGCACTGTGCAGGGACTAGCAGACAAAAAAGGTGTAAGGAAGTGAGGAATATGACAAAATAAATGCTGATGTTTCTGAACACCTTGATCATCAGCTTGTTCATGTGGCTGTAACAGCTGTGGCTGCCTTTATTCCCCTGGACTGACTCACCAGTATGTCATGGATATACCTAAAAATATTGCATTTCTTTACAGTACTTCAGTGAGGCCGTTAGGGTTCCAAAGACCCAAAGGCTGAAATGAATCCATGTGAGAACAAGTCATGCACACAAGTGCTAGTGTGGGCAGCAGCGCAGGCTTAATTAACCTGACCACCAGCTCTGGGGGGGCATGGTTAGCTAGAGGGCTGTCTTGGCTGTGGATGAACTGCTTCAAGACTGGCACGGCTACTTTAAGGGTAGATATAGGTAAAAAATAATGAAACATAAGTGAGAAACCAGAGTGCAAAAGAAGCAGGAGAATGAGGCGTGGAGGAGTGAAGGCAAGGTGGAATGGTGGCATTACTCTGACTAACGTCCCTTTGGGGGGGGGCTGTAGCTTTGCACCACAATGTAGACTTGTAGCGCAATAGGGAGGGGAGACCCTGTAAGGGGGTGGGGGAGAGTCGGCCAAGGGGTCCGGGGGCCTTGAAAATTTTTGGAACATCACTGGATTAGTCTGGAGTGGGGGCCCAATATGGTATTTTCATGCGTCTTCAGGAAGGGCACAGATTTACCAATATTTACCAACATTGTGTGAGTACTGTGTGTTTAGAGTGTGTGTGTGTGTGTGTGTGTGTGTGGAGGTGGGGGGTTTGTCACTGATTCATTCCCTACCATCACTGTGCCCTTGGTCCCCACCTCACCATAACCCCTGCACTGGATAAGCGATTATGGAAAATGGACGGCCTAAACTTAGCTACTCCTCTAGAGGGAGCAAAAGCACGACCAGCTGCATGAAAATAATTATTCGTCACGCATAACTAACTAATTAAACGTTCTATTCTAGAGAATGACAAAATTAGTCATCATTGCTGTGTGTGTGCGTGCCTACAGTCAGAATCAAACATCTAGAGGTGCACATCGAGTTTGAAATAGAAGGCTATATCATTAAAAAGGTCAAATTTCACAGCCATGGATTGCATGAGAATTTCATAGACGCAATAAGAGGCCTTGAATGGAGCTTTTCGCGATATATTCATGTGCCCACTGACAATTTTCAAGTAGGCCTATATCAGTTTAGTCGTTTTGGGCGGTGGTATAATTAACTTTGCAATTACAGTGAAAAGGTTGCTTTAACGTCATGCTGTAATATGCTATGGCAATATTTACTTGTCGAGAATTTTCAAAAAAGAAAAAAACATTAGCATTAAGTTTAATGAAAAATCAGGATTAGTTTCACCATAACCGTCAAAACTCACGTTTATTTGTGTGTATTTTGTTTTTAATCATGCCTGAGTTAATAATGTAGTTTTTCTGTTGGTCGGACTCAACCAAAATTAAAGCCACTCAAAAAATGTTCGTTACAACTTGGACATATAACTTAATTGCATTTATTTTTAAGAAACAAGCATGACTGGCAATATTAAATAATATTTTGGCTTACAGACACGAAAAAGGTGTCACATTGTAGTCAGAATACGCTAAAGCAGGACTGGCACAAGCAGATTTGATTAGGTTATACGGTTAGGTGTCCAGCATGGACCTCATGGTGACTTGGTGTTGTAAGCAAAATACACAAATACAAATCAACCAACAATACTGAGATATCCAGTGCACCTGCAGAAGTTCCATAATTGTGGGTAACAATCTATAGGTCAAAGCCATCATACGAGCTGGGCTCCTCTTCTGATCGGACTGATATTTTGAAATGACGCCTAAGAAAGCCTCCGTACCTTTTCTGGTTTTCCCACTTCAGATTTGGTCGGATCCTGCGCATGAAGCCTCCGTACCTCTTTTGTAACCCTTCTTGGTCATTTTCTACTCCAGACTCGCTTCGTTTGGGGACTAATTTCCTTAAAAACCCCCCGTATCGCTTAACCTCATTGATCGGCGCGTCGTCGCTGTAGACCTCCGTATCGTTTTCTGTGGTTGAATCTCCACGTTGGACGTCCTGGGAAAGTTCCGGGACATCTCTTTCCCCAAATTTTCGTGATAGACTTCCGTATTTCTTGGCGAGTAAGTCTTTGAATTGAGCATTTTCACGTGATGGATAATTGAACATTTTGTTTTTATCAATTCTTTTGATGAATCCACCATATCGCTTCACAAGGTTGCCAACTGACGATTCTAATCCTTTCTCTACGCTGTTCGGCGCGTTTTCTTCTTCGTTAGCGAACCCATTATAACCATCAGCATATAAATGCAGAGCTTTCTCGCATTTGTCTAATTCTACGGTGGATGAAAATACACCTTCACACTCTAAAGTGCAAGTCTGAAAAAATATATATCACAACATCACAAGTAAAGTTGTGCTTCTGGTTTGCAATAGAAATAGCCTACCATGTCTTAAAATATTTGAATTAAAAAAACTGGGAAGTTGTCAATCTTGGTAATACTAAATGAAATAAGTAACATTACACATCCGGTAAGTACAAATATACTATTCTAAATAAACAACTGTCATGTATAATGTTTAATTACAATTAAATTCTAGCATCTGAAAAACACATTCTAGCGCAAATTAGCACTTTGTATGCATTTATTGATTTACGAAGACTCGCTATCGCTTTTGTGGCTAAATGAAAAATATCATGGAACTAAAGTTGGAACTATAGCTACCCTTCAAAGTTAAAAGAAAGGGCAGTGCTGTCCGTGGTGCTGAAGAGTGTAGCTTAAGTGTAATATCATTATTACAATCAGCGATTATTACAGTTTTACAGAAGACGAGTCACTATATGACTGTTCACATACATTAATCTTACCATGCTGTTGACTGGAATATCTACGTTTGAATTCTGTTGAGCGCAGATCACACACTGGGAAGAACAATCTCCTTGTGCTGAAGATGCCAAACTCAGTACCAACACCAGGGCATACCACTCCATTCTCCGATAATATTCTTTTCCGGGGAGCTGAAATGAAACGAATTTCAAAAAACAAAAACAAATACTATACTATACTATACTGTACTATACTATACTATACTATACTATACTATACTATAGGCCTACTATATTATTGCTGATACCTGCGCTGCTTTTCTTCTTCTAATTGTTTTTTGAAATTGAAAAAACCCGAGTTTTGACACATTAGTTCTTATATTTTTGTACTTTTATCTAGATAGCTTACTTATTTGTACCCGACCTGCATTTTTTTCTATAAATATATTTTGATGGCTACTTCATCACTCATATTATTATTTGCGATAAATGTGCGTGTCTGAAGATCCAATTGAATTTACTTACACAACTGTTAGGCGTTCATAAATCACGAAATTATTTAACTAGTCTGCGGCTTTATTTAACACCACAGAGATCACAGAGAACCTTAAAGCTGGCTGACGTAATAGAACTTCATTTTTAAAAAGTATTTATTTACATAAAATAGGAGCAACAGCTAGGAACCACAATTAGTTGACTAAATGTATCGGTTTATAAACAACCCAACATTTTCCTTAAGAAAAACTCAGCCTCAATCACCAAACAAACGTTACCTTAGTAAAATAACAAACTCGTATGTTGTCCAGCTGTTCAGAAATTCACTTGAGTTAATCGAATGGAAATTATTGTACGGTTTACTCTTCTTTGCCAAATAATGTTCCTCGGAGTATTTTTACTGAAGCTATCGAGAGCCCAAACTCCTGCTTTTCTTGTGACCAAAACCGCTCCACGGTCTTTTTATTGACGGAGACTTTGTCGTGTCAGTGAAGTACATCACCAGAGATCCTCCATTTAGCCAATAGGAGGGGCAGGCTGAATGAATAATACGGTTTCTATTCGTTTCCCTTTTCTGACACACACACCCACACACCTATGCCTACGCGCACATGACTTAAACTCTTGTCCTTGACAATACAACATTTTGTACAACAAGCCAATTTATTAGTGGAACATTTACTGATTTTCATTGTTTTATGTATTTGTAAATCATTTCTCCAATGTAACGACGCACACACACACACACACACACACACACACAACAGGTAAAAATGAATGGCAGGCAAAGAAAACATAGAGGCAGCTCTCTGACTAAACGAAAACTCTAGCGCGACATCTCAAGGTCATCCTTCCGTGACGATCGACGTGCATTCTTATTTTCTATCAAATATATAAACTGACTTGATAATGAAAATGGACATCCTGTGTAATAGAACAGAGACAAATGTATATTTTTGAGTGTAATGTTTAATATGGGTAATTGAAAAAAGAAATACCTATGGATTGAACATAGAATGTAGTTCTTATTTGGTGAAATGGAAAGACACGCAGGTACCTATATGGCATTTATTAATTATGCTACAGAGCATGCAGTCTTAGAGATACTTGGAGAAACAAGATTAATACAGTTAGGGCAGAACTACATTTTGCTGTAAGTTAACAAACAAGTTTTATTTGTCTCGTATTTGGATCCTGGTAGAATGAATCACTAGTCCAGCTGGAACCTTAAAACACAGCACGCTACCTAGAATGGCAATATTAAAAGGCTGTGAATATCAGAACTTTACTGTTCTGGCCAAATCAAGGGATGCATTCTCCTGTATTCATTGAAGTCCAATCTAGCCAATGAACTGTTTCTTAGTAACTCCAAACACACATTCACATTAGGTCCTCTGATGTCAACTAATAAAAAGTTTCTTCTTGCATCTTTGAGAGTATGCCCTGCATTTCCAATATGAACATAAGCCAGCAATTTGCCGTTTGCCTTTACTTTGGTATTTAGTTTCCTCTATAAGATGATTTCACTTTAAAGCTTTTTGAAGACAAAGTTCGAAATAAAGGTGGGTAAGAATGTGGAGCATGTTTGACTTCAAAGGATGACAGTGTTGCCTCACAGCACATGTGTGTCACCATGTCTAATTAGACACAGTGGGTGTTTTCAGCAACAGAATTAGCCAGATAGCAAAGGATAATGGTTGGATTCAGACGCTTTTAATGGGTGTAACATGCTTCACAGATATGCAGAATGACACCAGGAGGACAGCAGACAGAAGTTAATGTGCCAGCTATGTGCCGTTGATCCATTCCCTGTAATGTGGCAGCATTTTATGCATCCCTTGTGATTCCGTGTGTGTGTGTGACCCTGTGCGATCACGAAGCAGCCCTTAATGTGAAAATATTCCACTTCCAAGCAGTATTGATTCATATATTATTGCTCAAACATACAGTATGTACACATGCCAAAATCCCAAGATCACTTAATTCAGTTTTCAGCTACGTTCCACACGCATAGAGCATTAGTGTGTGACTCACTGGGTCAGGCCTCTGTGTTTGCAATGACAGGGCTGCTGGTTTGAATCCTACCCTTGGCAAAACAGTTGCATGTATTTTGGGCCCTTGAGCAAGGCCCCTAACTCCCCGAAATGCTCCAGGGGTCCCGGATAAACAGCTAACCCTACGCTCAGACCCCAAGCTCTGCTGTCATCTGTATATACTGCATGTATGTCTCAAAGGAGCACAAGAGGCAAAAAGAAACATTCCAGTGTACTTGAGCAAATAGAAAACAATTTTCTCACTGCATCCTTTTCTTCATCTTATTCTGAATAGGGTCACTGGGGTCTGGAGACTATCCCAGACAGTATAATGTACAATGCATGGGTTCATTCTGCATGGGGAAAAACACAACGGAATATATTTTTAAGAAGAGAGATGACAGTACAAATGGTGAAAAACACAAGAACAACACATGAGAAGGATGAAGACGACGCTGTCCTCCTGCTCTGTCTTGAAATGTGTCCAGCTGTGGTACGAATGTGCTGGTTTTGCAATGCACTGATATATATTCACTGCTCACATTAAGAAGGTTCACTTGGCCATTCCTAAGGATGTCACACTGAACATGACACTGTCACCTAGGACAGGGATTTGATTTATGATGTCCCTTTGTTAGAGAGGAGCCAAGTCTGTTCACCAAAGCTGTCTAATTAATGCAGTGAATTCATTCGATCAACACCTGTCACTGGCTGTTGTTATTTACTGTCATCTGGATAAATTTATAAAAAACGAAAACAATAGCAAAACAATGTTATTTTCTATTGACAGCCATACGCTCCTCCTAGATATTTCAAATGAAATGGTTAATGGAGGGTGTGTTACCTTTACATAGATACAGACAGATGCACCACTCATCTTACAGAGGGTGAGCATTGTGGGTAAAAGTGAGTGCCTTTCTAACCGCAAGTGAAATCAATAACTGCAGTCGCCAAAAAAGAGGAGAACCAGGAGGGGGATGCCAAGGTCCCCAAATCTAAAAGCCATTAGGGAGGACAGCATTGAGGGAACTGGGAAATGTAATGAAATCCCACAGGACATGTGATGCAAATTAACTGCAGCAGAAGAACTGTGGAACATTTCCCGGACTCATTTCCTGCTCCGAGATCCAGCACTCGGCTCCGCACTGTTTATACTGTCACCCATTCATTGATAAGCCTTTAGACGCTGTGGAGAACTTACAAGCATAGTCATTCGTGATAAGAAACGAGCATGTGGAATGAGCCTTTGAGCTGTCAGCCTGATGAATGAGGCAGGACACATGCTTCGTTGTAGGGCCAGGAAATGCAAGAGCATCAAAAAGAAATGAGTTATTGAGAAAACGTATGGAGTACAAAGTACTAATTTGTATTCATGGGAAAAAGTGTGTGCATATGGCAAATGCTATACTATAGTGACAAGGTTTGTATGCATACTGTTTTGACAATCTCTTACAAAGCCTTTTTTAAGACTATGAAACCTTTTCTTACAAACTAAATATTTACAGAATTTGCTGCAGATAACCATTATCAAAATGAATACAGATAAAGCGAATGGCAAATACTGTATTTTGCAGTTCCAGATTCACATAATTGTGCTTATGAACAAGTATGCATCATTATCATACTGCATATTTATTACTAAAAAAGCAAAAAGACATAAAGTCACTTCTTTCAGGGTGCCATACAGTACAAACACTGAACTGCTGTCCCTTCTGCAGAATTAGCTGTTTGCTAGGAAACTCATTCTTTATAATTACCATGAAATGCATGGCAGAAAAACAAATCTTCTCTCCAGCCACATGCAATAGGTATAAATTACTGAACAGCTATTTTAAAATGTTGGATATTTAAAGCAGTTTAAGATATATCATTGTGTGAATGTTTTTGCAGATGCAATCTCATGGAAATGCCCTTTGATTCTTGTCTATCCATCCACATATCTTCCAACCCCACAGAGTTGGGGGGTGATGGATCCCTGTAGTAACAGGGCACAAGGCATATTTTGTGGATTACGACATTTTTCTTCCTGGATTTACAAACGTACCATTTTTGTGTGTTTTTAAATGTATCCGTCCATTTTCTATACCTGCTTGCCAGAGGTTCAGAGCCTATTCTGGAAGCTATGGGCACAAGCCAGGGAACAACCCAAGATGGGGCACTGACCCCCTGCAGGCAACTCCAATTCTACTTAGCATATTTTATTATTGTGTGTGTGGGGGGGGCGAGTGGGTTGGTGCTGTATTCATTTACCTGTATTCATGTAAAGAACATGTAAATTCTACACAGAAAATGATGGAGCAGAGACTTGAACCCTCATCTCCAGAAGTGTAACGTACCAGCACTAACCACTGCACCACCATACAAACACGACTATTTAAAGAAAAGAAAAAAAAAAAAATAAAAAAAAGGAAAAATGAAATTTGGTGATATTTCTCTGTAATTAAAGATTACAGAAAAAATACAAAGAAATACTACTTAAGATGTCACAGTGGCTCGCATGCTTGCCTCCAGGTTGTGGGTTCGAATCCCACTTCTGCTCTGTGTGTGGAGTTTGCATGTTCCTCGTGTGTCGTGCAAGTTAACTCCTGCAGCCCAAAGACATGCAGTTATACCAAATGATGTCTCTAAATTTGCCTGTAGCTACTGATTATGTTTGTATGCATGTAGATAGACTGCCGTCCCAGCCAGGGTGTTCCCCTGCCTTCTGCTCCTTCCTTCCTGGCCTCGGCCTCCAGCCCCCCTGAATTGCTGTCTGAGATAAGCTGCTGGAAGATGGATAGACCTTGAGTCACTATGCGCAAAACCTCATAACCTGGATACTGAAAATTCTAAAAACAGGTTTTCTAAAACAGAGAGTGCAAATTAAACTATACTCACAAAATATTTCATATTCCAAAAAAAAAACCATTTTTGCAAATGGATTTATATCAACCTGTGATGGGTTGGTGTCCCATCCTGGGTTGTTCCCTGCCTTGTGCCCGTAGCCTCTGGGATTGGCTCCAGACCCCCCATGACCCTGAATAGGACAAGCGGTTAGAGAAATTGGATGGATGGATGGATTCATATCTACAAAAACAAGAGCTTTTGGGTGTAGCAAAGGAGTCTACATTAACTGAGAAAGGTCTGTATTCTAAATCCACTCAAAGGGAAAACATAGAAGAAACACACACAGTCAGCATTCAGGCAGACTGTTTGATTTTCAACACAAGCCAGCAAATAGATTGGAAATGAACGATTTTGCTGTCCCAAATCTTGGCAAACACTGAATAGTGAAAAGGGAGATTTTTGCTGAGGATAGTAGATGATATAATTTCAATTCGAGTGATATATGAGTAAAGAAAATGAATTTTATCGGGGTGCAAAGCCCAAAGTCTATTACTGTATGTCATTCCCATACAGCTGACAGTTAATACACAACCACACATTGCAAGC